ATCTCTATGAAGCCGTCGGTTAAAAAACAACGCTAGAAACTATTAGCAGACCATGTATATATCGCGCCCCATTTAACATCTTTAAAGGTGTCATCAAACGATAGACACATTCCCCTACTACTACGAATAGCAGTAGGTCATGCCTTTATGATCCAAACCTTACATTTGGAGTTTTCCAAATAATTTTACTTCGCTTCATTATTTTCTCATCTTTCATAACAATTTCAGTTTTAATTTCTAGTAGACAGATAAACTGAAAAGCTTGTAGATGATGCTCATCTGTCAATCACAAGGAAATGGAACATTCTGTATAATTGTAAGTTCTTTATTTCTCATGGATTAGCAGTTTGATAAATTTTTATTCCCCCAATTATTTAGAATTCAAACACCTTGCATTCTTATCTGTTTATTGCCCTACTCATGAAATTTTAACACTTTTTCTTATTTTTCTTTCGTTAGCTGACAATCCTTCCTATCTCCAAACTGCTTATTAACTGACCCATATCTTACAACGCTACGTGGATATATAGTTCCACGTTCAGAAGCTAAAGCTGTCTAGTTTTCTGGTAATGTGGAGCTAAAGATTGTGTACTTCAACACGGTGTCCAAAAATAGAGGAGATTAGACTAAAACATTAGTAAAAATTACTAAACGTAAAATGGCCTAGCATCTCAAGAGGAGGTTGGGTGGTGTATCTGACCAGAACTAGTGGCGGCGGGGCCATAATCTCATTTTACCCATGTGGTTGGGCCAGGACATTTTGTTTGCTTACGGGTCCGTACGATAGAGTAACATGGAACTAATCAATGATATTGAAGTTACTTTTCCAAGTTAACCACGTCTATGAATCGTGTCTGTACCTTTGAACCGGTTTCGATTCCTTCTATGAAATCCTATTACAAGCATATCTGGAAAGTTATATTGAAAAGGAGATCACCCGTGACTTCTTGAGCTATGGCGATATAAAGTCAGTGGAAGAAATGTTAACGAAGTTTTAGATCACTGTAACTTCCTTATCATTTTCTGCAATTCTACGTAAATTTTAACAATTTAGTCTTTTTGAATTTTCTCTATTCAGAGGATTATTTGCCCATTCTTTATCCTACTAGTGACTTGTCTTCACTAACCTTCATAAGCGCAGGTGTAAAATTAGTGTTTGAATACAGAAAAAGAAAGATGTGAGTAATCATGTCCTTATTTGATCAGAAAAAGTATCATCTGAGCCACGATTCATCTTTAAACAAGAACGTTTTCTGTTCTGCTCCCCCCCTTTTTCTCTTTATTTCTGAGCGTCGATAGTAAACTCTTGGGCTCAAACATAGTGCGGTTCACCGTGTACCATCTTCTGGCCCAATGGAATGGTCCCACGTTTAGATCATCAGTTATAAGTCGCCTTAATATCTCACCGGGACCACAGTTGGTGGACACAGTTCGTTCTACTAGTTCAGCTAGGAATGTCAAGACCCGTCAAAAACCGAGCTACGTTACTAGTTTTCAGGAAGACATTAAGATCATTAGACGAGTCTATCCAACCTTTCACGTGGATCAACTACGAAATAAAATGCTCAGACCTGGACTGGTTACTACATGTTAACAGTCTCAATGCACATGTATACCAAAGGATCTAAAAACTAGGGTGCGCATCTAGATTAGGTACTTCAAAGCGAAAGCTTCATTTTACCCTCCTCAAGGTAGTCCCAAGAAAGCCTAAATATCTCTTCGTACATAAACATGGAAGCGCAGATACAATAGGTATTGACAGGCTAATGCCTTTTTATTTAGTTAATGAATCATCATGTGTGATATTAGACCGAAAACCGGAAAAAATTATCGCAGAATTAACAAGTCACTAGAAGAATCCTGCACATGTAATGTGAAGGTTAGATGTACCCGACCACTTATTCAGGACGGTATGTAGAGCTAGTTAACTTATTCCTAGAAATCAAACGTACTTGTACTGAAGTTTTGGTATTAGATTAGATTAAGAAGCTCATTTTTCAGGTATTCTTATAATCCTTCAATTAAAAACGACGAAAACATAATGGAAGTAAGCTTTACCTACCCACCCCAACTCAAATCCCTCCATATTTTGCAGATGAGTGTCATATTATTTTTTTACACTGAGTACGTAAGCGACTGACCGTAACACAATTCAATTGAAATATAAATGGAAGCTAACATAACAAAGCAGGATAGGGATGATGAGTCTTCGACTAAGGTGCACAATATTTGCAGGCTGTTCTTGTGATATAAACCATTTACCCTTAACGGAAGGAAGTAGTGCTAAAATCTAATGGAAGTGTCAAACTAAATCCATGAAGACAATTATTATACCTCCAATAATATGGACTCTAAATAATGTCAAATTCCGAAAATAACCCAGGCGAGATTCATTCTTTCACTCGATGATCTACTGAGTTTATTGAGCTTTATGACATGCAGTATTTTGTATCCATCTAGATCACCCATACATATTATATCATATTACATCACCTTCAGACTCTTTTCTGATAAAAGATGTATTCACTGGTCTCATACGACAACGCACTACCATAAAAAAGTGTGTTGCTGTTAGACGAAGCCTAATAGATCCAATGGTAGTTCAAATAATTTTAGTTGATCTAATATCCAGTATCTTTTTCACAAGTTAGTATAAACCTTTTGATTTCTTTTCGCTAGATTCACGTTCTTTTGGCACGGTTTCAGGTATTTAGTAGTATCCAAAGGATGGTAGTCTAGACACTTGACTGCACAAATTCTAGCTAGTTGCTTATGAATTTGTATTTCCCGTGTTTTGAATGAGTACGTTTATTTCAAGGCAGTAGGGTTTCTGGATACCAGCAGATATAACGTTACCAGATAAAAGTCAAAACTAGGCAAATAAATGCATAACTTATTTTATTAACTGGTGGTGGAGATTGTACAAGAGGTCCGAAGTGTAAGGAAGGGGAAGGTATCAGAGATAATAAGCAAGATAGAATAAGTTAGTGATCTAAGGAAATATCAGTAATAACGAATCACTGGAAATGCATCAGAAATGACTGGTTCTTGAGGGAGATAATAATCTGTATCTCAGTACGTGTTTATGAAGTCTCTGCTTACCCAGCTGAGGTGACAACAGCACCCTCAGTGGCTGTCTTCAAGAAGTCTAAGTTGTAACGACTCCTTATAAGAAAAGGTGTGCACAAACCTCAGAGTTCGTTCGTTGAAGTACAGTTTTCTGAGGGTAATCTTGATGGAAATGGTGGTGATGCATTGGTAATATGTTCACGCCGGGATGGTTTGGTGCACTAAAGATGTTGTAAGCTGTTATCAGATCACCTCTGATTCTCCTGTAACTCAGGGAGAATAATCCCAAATATTGTAGTCGATCTTTGTAAGTTTTGTTCTCCAACCCAAACACGCATTTGGTTGCTTGTCTCGGCCTCCGATCCAGGAAACTTATGTCACTTTTTCGTAAAGAAGGGGTAACAGTATTGTGAACGTCAAAGTGTTGTGGCGCTTATGTCCTTAACAACGTTAGGAATAAGTTATGGGTGAAATCACCGAATTGTCTTCGCATAAACTGAAGAGTTGCTTTAGCCTTAGCTGCGTCCTCTATATAGTTCGATCTGGTGTGCAGGCTTTCAGTGGTTATTAAGCCGAGAAAACATTACGGAGCAAACTTTCAATAAAGGTGTAAGTAGTTTGCACCATGTGTGGCAGAATGTACATGACACGACATTTCAGCTGGTTTAGTTTTACACAGTTTTCACTGCCCAGTTCTTAACAGATGTAAGGTACTTTTGGAGCTCAGTTAAATCCTCTTGGCATCTTATAGACCTCTAGATCTCCGCTTCGTCAGCGGCTCAATCCCGCTGGGTGTACTTTGTCTAACAGATCGTTAGTGAATAACTGGAAGACGAGTGGACTTTCCATGATCCCCTGTAAAACTCCAGATATTGAGACTCATCAGCTCATGTGCATCCTATTTACCCTGGTGCGAAACTTTCTATCTTCAAGGTACTTTCTGGGTCAGTGAAGCCCAGTTCCGCAACCTTCGCAATTAAGAGTGAGTTGGGTACCATGACGAAGGCTTTTAAAAAGTTGGTATTTTTCGGGCGCAGCAGGTTGTTCAACTGTCCCATGTCGTCAGCCGGCACTAGGTTCTAGTAGTACTCTGAGCGTCTAGGTTCTTATCTGTCTGATCAACGGAGTTGGTGTTAGGTTGGTTAGAAATGCTCTGGGTAAATATATATAATTGTCTCTTTGCTCTTATTTTTCCTTTCTCTCTTTTTTGTCGCTTTTCATAAACTTATCCCCAGCGGAAAAACCATGCTGCTTTTACGCTGAACACACTTGTGCGCGTTCGACTAGGTCACAGCTTATATCAAGCGCCTTCCAATCGACACTTTCCAACAAATTCACTTCTGAATTATGCTGACCACCCAGAGCTCTACTGTGTACCTACAATGTTTGTACTCACTTTCTTATAATGTTACTGTGGTTTTGCACTCAACTTGTCATAGAAGATCTTTAAGGTCTTCAATATCACCGAAATGAAAACTCGAAATTTACAAAGTATACTAAGGTGGTACACGGAAATGAAGAACGACCAGTAGGATGAAAACGACAGACAAGCCAAACGTTCTTGAAACATTGCAACAAGAGTATACACTTAGTCTCTTATTCCCCAGTAGAAGCTTAATGGATAGACATAAATGATTACATTGAAGCGTTAAAAAATCTAACGCTTTCTTTCGAAATATGCAAGCTAATGTGTTCCAGTAGTTAGATTAACCTCGCTGAAACTGAAAAATCTAAAACCTCTATTTAAAACACATAAACTTACTCCAGTAAATCAAGTGTTTTGTCCTGGGGCTTCATATGAAATCGAGTTTTGGGCGCGTTTTCAGAAGATTTCGCTACAGGTCTGTTCATCATGCCTCGGATTAACATAAAGGGTGGTGTTTGGAGGAATACTGAGGTAAATTTATGAATACAGTCGACTTATTTTTAAGGATGAAATCCTCAAAGCTGCTGTTATGAAATATGGCAAAAATCAATGGGCCAGAATAGCTTCTTTGCTGCACCGCAAAGCCGCTAAGCAGTGTAAAGCTAGGTGGTATGAATGGCTTGATCCTAGTGTAAAGAAAACAGAGTGGAGCCGTGAAGAAGATGAAAAATTATTACATCTTGCCAAGCTTATGCCAACTCAGTGGCGAACAATTGCTCCGATAGTTGGAAGAACTGCAAATCAATGTTTAGAACGCTATGAATATCTTTTGTAAGTTTTAAATTTATTATTATTTCGAAAATCAAGAGACAAAGCACAAAACAGGGAAGGCTTGTCTGCAGAAGAGGATCCTAAACGTCTTCGTCCTGGTGAAATCGATCCAAATCCTGAAACTAAACCTGCACGTCCAGATCCCGTTGATATGGATGAAGATGAATTAGAAATGCTTTCAGAAGCCAGAGCAAGACTGGCAAACACACAGGTCAGTCATAATCAGTGTTTTATGGTTTTCACACCGGTAAAGATTATAACTGCTTTACTGTTTAATTCGTTACTCTTGCGTTTGCAATCACCTGTTACAATAAGAGCCGTAGGGAAGGAGACAGTTCCATTAAATTAAGTTGCAGAAAATCAAACTAGTTATGTGTACTTGCGAAAGATAGAAATCATGCACAGTGTTAACTCACTTGGTGTTACCATCTGAGAACACCATATTTGTTCTACAAATGACTTACTTCCTAGACATTTTCACATAAAGTTCTATTAGCCGATGATAGGATTGAGTTAAAAAGGTAAAGATAATACGAAACTCGTTCATTAAGCTTAACAGTCGGTTCTCAACTGGTTGGAGAATGAGTGACCTTCAAGCTAATATCCTTCAATCACCTATGCACTTCACGTTTATTGTGTTAGAATTTTGTATCGAAATATGCTATTTTTATACAACTGAAAACAAATTCTTCTGGTTGGTGGTTCTGTCTTTAAGTTCCAGTCGGTTCAGTAAACTAAGTTAATTACGATCACATGAGCATATATCACCTGGCTACATATCGCTGTCTCCAACTATCATTCAGCATTTTTTTCTGCAATCAAAATTTTGTCTAGTCACAACTACAAAATACCCTTGTGAAAGATGAGATGGTTAGTTTTATGAACATGATGTCGTTGTTATGAGGACTTGTACCAGTCAATTCATGACTCCTGCTTGAGGTCCAGAAATAAATGAAGCTCAATCGCTTTGGATGCTATCAGAGATGGCTCAAAATAGTAGTCAATGGTAGTCGTGCTATGATTCTCTTTTACCTTCATAAGAAGGACAGAAATTTGTTTGGTTGGAAGAATTGTTTTTTATTTATATTTTTTCCTACTGGAATGTTTTCCCTATCATATACTATTTGTATCGACTTATTTTTGATCATATATTACCCTTCATCTATCTCTTCACAAATCGTTTACCTATTCACGTCGCTATAATCATTAGCCCTCGCTTGTAGCAAATTTTGTGTTCAAATAAAATAGGACGAAGTTAGCATTGGTATAAAATGCTACCTTCAGAATTCGTCTCTCGATCATAGCTGATACCTTAAACGTGGTGGTCGGGCTTGTCTGTCGTGATGATCCAACAGAGCTATATAGGCTGGAACATATGTAACTTTAAGTCATACCATGCCAGGGAGGGTCAATTAGAGAAACAGTTAGACTAAATGCAGCAACTCCAGGTCTGAGGGCGAAGTCGTACTGTCGAGGGGTGTTTCCCTTGGACAACCAGCATCTGCAGCGATGCTAGAAGGAAGGAAAGATGGGGTTAGCAATGGTCGACCCTGAAAATGTCACCCCATTTTACCCCGCGGATTTCCATCCTCGGCGGTAAGGCCTTTTAAAAAGGGCGGAGCTAACACCTTACAAACTTCTCATAAAAAGGCCGTGAGTATCCGGCCTCAAGCAGTTGTCCCTAATCTATGAGCCAACTTCCTTTCCAGGTTACCCGAAGAAGAAATACCGTTTCACAGTGTGGGAAGCCAGGAAGTGACATCCTCCCTCATACCGTAACTGCACACAAAACCAAATTAGTCTCAATTAGATCGTTCCTACCTCAGAATTCGTCTTATTTGATTATTGTACACGATGTAGATCAAACAATTGCTAGAAGCCGAATGAGACCGATCACCACATTAGCTGTCAGTTCTCGTAAACGGTACTTGCTGATTTTCCAAAGTTGATCTCAGCCAAGTGGCTTTACTTGTTAGCATGGTATTTCACTTGTATTTAGCTGTTTTTAGTTATCTAAGTACAAATCTATTTCGCATAATACTTTCTATTTTGCTAGGGGCAACCAAATCAAAACATGGCACAAAAATATGAAGTCATTTATAACTGAATGGAGCTATGTTAGTAGGTGTAGAATACCTGGTTAAGGTCTACGGAACAATTTCAACTGGTGGTTTGAGACTGAGTTACATGGCTCAAAATCGTTAGTAGTGGCGCAGATGCATCCATTCTTTGTCTTCTCTCAAATTCTAATCTACGTTCCTCATGATCTTATTTCTTTTCATAAATCTATTTCACTGAGATATACTTCTCAAATCATTTCTTCGATCCCTAATCTTTTAAATTACCTCTATTACTGTTACTACTATGGAATATTAACTGACGATTCAATCTCTATGTGCTAATGTTCTATGGAGACTTAAACTGATGTACGTACGTGCGTACGAAGTTCTACGTTGTAGCTCAATGACTGATTGCTTCTATTCTAACATTCATGTTTGTCAGTTCCGACTCCTATACTTAACTGACTACTCAATGATTACATCTCTCATGTTCGCAGGCTAGTTTTTAAAAAATTGGAATATCAATCTTTGAAAATATTCATATTCAACTCTGTAGAATCAATTGTTATTCTATGTGTTGTTTTGAATTATTCGTTTTTTCTTGTAAAATCAAATTCATGTCTTAAAATCCTTCTTTTACCATCTATTTGTTTATCCACTGTCTGTGATAAAGAATTCATTTATATGACTTTTATCCAAGAAGTTTTTGTTTTATTTGTTTCTTGTTTGTAAATATAGGGAAAAAAAGCAAAACGTAAAGCTAGAGAACGTCAACTTGAAATTGCACGAAGAATGGCAATGATGCAAAAACGTCGAGAACTTCGAGCAGCTGGTTTAGGGACATTCTTGGGATTAGCACCAAAAACAAAACCATGCATGGATTATAATTCAGAAATTCCATTTGAGAAACAACCTCCTAAAGGATTTTATGATACTAGTAGAGAAAAACCAGAAATTAAACCTATGGATTTTCAACGTTTAAGACTTTCAGATATTGAAAAAGAAAGTTTTATGGAAAGAGAAAAGGTGAGGCCATGTTGTCTTTGGGTTTTTTTTGAATTATGTAGTGTGAAATTTTAGTTTGTTC